CACTTGTTCGGGTGGTTTGGCTATGCCGTCCTGTGTACCACAAGTATCGATTCCTTATAAACAGTAAGATTTGTAACATTTAGCTCACTGGAACCCTTGTGTATTGTTGAATCGTGCTAGCCAGGTTCGGCTAACAGTGAAAGGACGAAGGACTTCACTCCGAAGTTATTTATTAGAAAATGCCAGCTGACCGGTTACAGACCATTGGACAGGGATGCAAAACGCTCATTTGCATCTTACTTACAAAAACTGGACATCTTTCTTCTCCTGAACGCGTCTCCTTGAACTTTTGTGGATATTCATTGACTTCAATCATCCCTCGCTCAAATCCAAGCAAATGTTACAAAGAGAATCCACAAATTCCGCAGCAGATCTCCCCTTTTCAAGAGACGCAAGGCGAAATTCCTCTAACAACACATACTACTCGCATGCCTCTCATCGATAGTATCACCGTTACATTAGTATTTCAACTGATTAATCGGGCTCGCTTATAGATTCCCGCTATTACCAAGGGCAAGCTACTTGATTATGACTGATGTAAAAGGCAGTTGTATACGGCCTTAAGTGCCGATGGGAAAAAAGTGACAGGAGAATGCACTGTCATACGAGTGGAAGCCTGTTCAAAGCGCACAGTTTTGGGAACTCTGTGTACATTACAAAAAATCTGTCAATGTAATCTACCTTACACATAGAGAGACCTGATTTTCACTGACATAGATTCTGTTCCATTATATATAGCACTTGGTTCACTTATCCGTAAGGATCTCTTGGATATCCTGAAACAGATAGCTATATGCTGACAATCTTTAGTCGTTTTCCACCCGTGGACAATGAATGACAGTCCGAAGAAGAAATGTTTTCTGAAGCCTTTACGCCAAACACAACTGATTGGCGAAAAACGCACGCCACAAAAAGCTTGTGTACTGTTGACCACGTCGTATTTCCGTTTCATGGTGTAAGATGAGCGACCCTCGTTATCGAAACATGTGAGATATTGTACAATTCATACCAACGGGAATATGCTCAAATCTTGTAAACCTACTGTGAGTAGCCTCTAGAAAATAACACAAATCGGCTCTACACTTCCTGGTTCATTCCGCCGGTAAGAAGCCGTAATGCGTGGGACCGTGACCTGTGTTTGGAAGTAAAGGTTAGGTGATTTGAAGCTGGATTCGTTCACCAGCTTTCACCTGTTTAGTATCACCAACGTCAGCCTTAGTGCTCTGAACTCTCCCCAACAGTAGGGGTGCTTGTCTGATCAGTCCATTTAGACCAAAAGCAGACCTTGAACCGTGAGTTGTCGTTGACTAGGTAGTTTCTCTGTAGAACAAGCAGTACGGTGTGGGGAACCCGGTGCAGCAAAGAGTGTTGAAGCAAGTTACTATGTAAAAATTGCCCCTTAGGATGCGTACGAAGTGGCATGGCTAACTGTGAACAAACAGTTTTACCAAAAACACCAGATGATCTAGCTATATTCTTCTATCTAGATAACACAGAATCATTCTTTGTTGTCATGAACCGTACAGCGATTCGGCTGAAGATTCCTAGAATACCTTGGGAGTGTAGTCGTCAATTAGGGGCGAGTATGTTTTTCTCTCGAGTTATTTTTTACTGAAGCGTTCCACTGATACAAGCTTAATATCAAAACTGGATGAGCATATTTTATGGAACGGGATTCATTTTGACGGACCAATTAAGTTAACTGATGGTTGGACACTTTTGTGAAAGTTTCTTCAAAATTCAAGCCGTAATTTGGAAGACAATGCGTCTCCCAATACATGATAACATTCAAGGGCCAGTAAAGTATTACACGCCCTCTAAAAGCAAAAGCAATCAATGGAATTTAAATTCACGGTGGAGAATCAGACCGCATACTCCCTTACAACTTGGTAAATTTTCCTTAGGAAAGGTGGTTTATCTCCGGCTGTTGTTGGACACTTTCGCCATTCAGCGGTTCAAGAAAAAGGGAAGATTCAACCTGACCAAGGGTAGCTTCTTTCACTCCCAGTCAATCGCAATTTGGGTAACTGAGTTGTCCTCCGAGAGTAAAATTAAGATGGGAAATTGTTAGCAACAGAAGCAAGCTTAAATAACGAATCGAGAGACAAACACCGCATTCTGAATAGCCATATTCTCTACCAGGCTGCTATTCTATCCATCTATCAACTGCATTTTGTAAACAGGTGACGTATTCGGATGCGCTCAAAAAACACGAAGAGCAGGTAGTTACCTTGATTTCATAGTAATGTGAAGAGATTTCATCCTGTCACTAAAGCCAATCTATGCCGAAAAGTCGAGGAGTACTTTACAGCTGTTCCATCCTTGTTGGGAATCACCAACAGTGCGCATCTCACGAAACCCAGACAGTTTCGAACCCGCGACCGTCCGGTGAACGCTTAACCGTTTAGACAAGAATGGCTGATCAGCAGTGTGATTAGCTCTCACCGAGACAGGACACATCGCCATTCGTCCTTCAGAAACGGAAAACCACTTCACGTGGTCACGTAGTGACTGGCTCCTCGATTGACGACTTCTGAAAAAGAGGGTTCACACTCCAGTGAAATTATCCTTCCTCTGAGCTGTTTTTTGTCTCAGAAATGGGAGGGGATTTTGTCACCAACCATCCTGAGAAGAACATCGGGAGGAACCAGCAACTAGATGGCTCGATTGATCTTTCGCCCCTATACTCACGGCTAACAATCGATTTGCATGTCAGAACCGCTGCAATCCTCCACCAGAGTTTTGGCTTCAACGTTTCGAACCCGCGACCGTCCGGTGAACGCTTAACCGTTTAGACAAGAATGGCTGATCAGCAGTGTGATTAGCTCTCACCGAGACAGGACACATCGCCATTCGTCCTTCAGAAACGGAAAACCACTTCACGTGGTCACGTAGTGACTGGCTCCTCGATTGACGACTTCTGAAAAAGAGGGTTCACACTCCAGTGAAATTATCCTTCCTCTGAGCTGTTTTTTGTCTCAGAAATGGGAGGGGATTTTGTCACCAACCATCCTGAGAAGAACATCGGGAGGAACCAGCAACTAGATGGCTCGATTGATCTTTCGCCCCTATACTCACGGCTAACAATCGATTTGCATGTCAGAACCGCTGCAATCCTCCACCAGAGTTTCCTCTGGCTTCAACCCGCGCAGACACAGTTCATCATCGTTCAAACATATTACCGATTCTTAATGGATGTTGGTAATAACCAGTTGGAACGTTTTCCATAGACACACTAAGATTATCGCGCCGAAAAATAAGGAAAACAACAAGCCTGTAGCTGGGAGCCTAAAGACTTTGCCTTTTCGTTTGCATTATGTGTCCATATTCAGATTTAAATGTGAACGAGATTCGGTCGCATAGATGTCCAACATGTGACCATAGTGAGATCTTCTTTCTTCTTTCAAGAAATGTGGGCTGACTTGTATATCCCATTCTAGATAAGCATTTACATCATGTCTGATAATCGGCAAAACCTTAGGTCATGTTAAAAATTTGGCGCACCTCGGGTAGAAAACTAGGACGAATTCGTGACCTTAAAGTCACTGAACGAGGCGATAAATAAGCTCCTTGTCCCCTGAATATTCAAAATCAGACCCGACTAAGCGAATATACACTCATTTGCAAACTAATTTGGCTTTTCGAGAGACTCACCTGGAACCCAGCTGAATCTCTCGTTTGAAAAGTTCTCAGGCAACTGAATGTGCTGCACCAGGCTGCCTCATGTTTCAGTCGCTACGATATTCGAGATATCGCGATACACGTATATCTTTGTAATGTACTATTCATAAGGTTGCTGAAAATCCGTCGACAGCTCACGACCGGTTTCGCCCTTTTTGGGGCTCATCAGGTAGGCGCAGTCCCTGGGTTTCCGTCAACCTTATGTTCTACTTGAAACCAAATTGCACGAAATTAGCGAATATATACTTATTTGAAAACTAATTTGGTTTTCTCGAGAGACTCACCTGGAAACCAGCTGAATCTCTCGTTTGTGATGTTTTCAGGCAACTTAACCTCTCAATGATGATGTCACCCCGACTGGTGATGAGACATTTGAAATCCAACTGCGAAACTCAACGGACGAACCAAAAATAAGGCAGCAATAAATTACCCGGGTATCGCCAATTGTGAGCGAAAACATAGTTGACGCTAAAACATTCATGATGTTTGCTATATATCCATGTTTCTGTTCAACACACTCAGAATTGGAGCTAAGCTAACCCAAACAACGGATACTAGGCTTTACGTTGATTTTTCCGATCAGATGTAATAGACATAAATTATGGTGGGAAACACACCATTTGGGTAAGAAACGCTAATAAAACCCCTCGAAAAGGTAGCACATTTAAGGCTGAGCCCAGAGTCCTAAACATGTGAGTCAGCTGGCAGCAGCGAACAAAGAAAGAAGTGGTGCGTGGACGGGAACTTTTAAACTAATCACGATCGCCATGGTAGCAGATTAAACCTATCGGGCCACTGTTGTCTAAACTTAACATACTACTCATAAGGTTGCTGAAGCGGACCATAATAAACGACAAATTCAGCTGGATTCATTTAAGTCTCTTGTCGAAACGAAATTCGTGTGCAAATGAGAGTGTTCGTCTCTATCAGGCTGTTGTTTGGACATGTACTGCACAGTCCAACCACCAACTATTCAAGAAAACTATCCCAGGCCATTGTTGGCGAAGAGTTCACGCAAGACAGGCTACGAAATGGCAAGGCAAAATGAGAGTATCTACATTTAAACTGAGCGCTTTGGAATGCTCCCGAACGCGTCTTCTTGAACTTTCCTGGATATTCATTGGCTCAAATCATTCATTGCTCAAATCCAAGCAATTGCTACAATGCGACTCCACAAATTCCGCAACAGATCTCCCTTTTCCAAGAGATGTAAAGCGAGCTTACAAGAAGAAAATATCGCACGCCTCCTCGTCAGTAGCATCACCGTTACACTAGTAATGGTTGTGTGAACTGTGCTAGGTAAGACAACAGAAACTGTTATGGATCCCGCGAATTACATGTGTGTCATGCCTAAAATGCCCAAACAACAAACGAATTCAGTCAAACTGTGGCGCTTGCCTTATCAGCACAAAAGCTCCAACAACGAAGAAAACCAGTCACAGGCTGTGCTAGATCGTGAGACAGGGATGGAGAGCTTCAAACAGGATGGATTACGCAAGAGCATTTCCAGGATTTTTGGCCAAACACTGATAAATGCGCTCGAAAGAGGAGCAATGTAACCGGGATAAAGAGAAGGCCACGAAGCTCATTGATAACCTGGAGGAGGGTGAATCTAAGTTAAGGGATCCATCGCATAATAAATTCTGCGTAAGTGCGTACAACAGTTGTTGAATCCCTTCTACGCCTGAGGGGACAACCAAATCACCCTCGTTTGGAGTGAATCACATCCAGAACCGGTTGATGTGGATAGAACAACGTACGACTGACATCACGGGTGAGAGAATTTAAGTACTGGGTACATAGTATAGCTCAAAATTGGTTGTGAATGACGTTCAGGAACTGCAATAGACAATCAGCAAGCGGAACCATGCCGGTGACTCAGCAATGCTTAAATTAGAACGCCCAAAAAGGCTATTGTGCCGTATGTTTCAAGGTGTCAATGTCTCGAATAATTTAGTCTATTTTAGAAAATGGTAAATTCAGCTGGATTCATTTAAGTCTCTTGTCGAAACGAAATTCGTGTGCAAATGAGAGTGTTCGTCTCTATCAGGCTGTTGTTTGGACATGTACTGCACAGTCCAACCACCAACTATTCAAGAAAACTATCCCAGGCCATTGTTGGCGAAGAGTTCACGCAAGACAGGCTACGAAATGGCAAGGCAAAATGAGAGTATCTACATTTAAACTGAGCGCTTTGGAATGCTCCCGAACGCGTCTTCTTGAACTTTCCTGGATATTCATTGGCTCAAATCATTCATTGCTCAAATCCAAGCAATTGCTACAATGCGACTCCACAAATTCCGCAACAGATCTCCCTTTTCCAAGAGATGTAAAGCGAGCTTACAAGAAGAAAATATCGCACGCCTCCTCGTCAGTAGCATCACCGTTACACTAGTAATGGTTGTGTGAACTGTGCTAGGTAAGACAACAGAAACTGTTATGGATCCCGCGAATTACATGTGTGTCATGCCTAAAATGCCCAAACAACAAACGAATTCAGTCAAACTGTGGCGCTTGCCTTATCAGCACAAAAGCTCCAACAACGAAGAAAACCAGTCACAGGCTGTGCTAGATCGTGAGACAGGGATGGAGAGCTTCAAACAGGATGGATTACGCAAGAGCATTTCCAGGATTTTTGGCCAAACACTGATAAATGCGCTCGAAAGAGGAGCAATGTAACCGGGATAAAGAGAAGGCCACGAAGCTCATTGATAACCTGGAGGAGGGTGAATCTAAGTTAAGGGATCCATCGCATAATAAATTCTGCGTAAGGGCGTACAACAGTTGTTGAATCCCTTCTACGCCTGAGGGGACAACCAAATCACCCTCGTTTGGAGTGAATCACATCCAGAACCGGTTGATGTGGATAGAACAACGTACGACTGACATCACGGGTGAGAGAATTTAAGTACTGGGTACATAGTATAGCTCAAAATTGGTTGTGAATGACGTTCAGGAACTGCAATAGACAATCAGCAAGCGGAACCATGCCGGTGACTCAGCAATGCTTAAATTAGAACGCCCAAAAAGGCTATTGTGCCGTATGTTTCAAGGTGTCAATGTCTCGAATAATTTAGTCTATTTTAGAAAATGGTGGAACTAAACTATGCGACTTACGAATTGTCCAGAGCAAAATGGTGAGGAGAATATTTCCGAATACCGCGTGTTTCAAATTGCTGGTCAACTCGAAGAGGTCACACCATATTATGATCGGAAAGTGAGGTTCGTATTACCGATAAACTGATCAAAGGCATGCATGAGCTATGCACATGCCTTTTCAAAATACAAGTAACAGTGTGCTACTTAAACGGAGATCTTCCCTCAATCATGGATTCATTGGCGTTTTTGTGCTCATATTGCCTACTGGTGGAGGGTATCTGGTTGCTGCAACCAATTTGCAGAAGGAACTGTTGTTAGAAAGTTGAAATAAATTAAGCCTAAAGACACCTGCCTCAGCCGAGAAGGTTTTTTCACTATATCTACAGGCTCCCGCTTCTGCTGACTGATCAGGTGGCTATTAATCTGTTCCATGAACTTGCCAGTCACCTTGCAAACGTCACGCCCTCGTTCGAAGAGACATCTACAGCGCGCAATTAAGTTGACTCGCTCAACTACGCACATGATAAAAACAGTGACTGCTATCCGAAACTCCTGAATCGCAATTGCGTACCCCCATTTTCAATTAGTTAATGAACTAGAGCGCACAACAACAAGAAAAGAAAAAAATTAGTGAGGGGATCCAACGGTATACAAATTACTGCGCGACGGTGAAAACCTCGTAACAGCGAAGATGATACATACTCATCCACACAATTTCAACTCAGTGGATATTTCACTAACACGAAGGTCGATAAAAGATCGACAAAGCCTTATCCCCGAACAACGCCACAAGTTTCGGACGCCTCTATCACATTTTCAGAGAAAGTGTCAGCTGAACCAACATAGCAGAAAAACCAAACAATGGATACACATCTTCTGGAGTTGTGTTGATTTGTACGTTCACATAACAAAATGTGGCATAACATGCTGAACCGGATTACCACAGATGTTGTGAATTCAGCGATCAGCTCCAAGCAGTTTCCGTAGAAAACGCGTGGAGATGGTTGGTTGTTTACGCTTGATCTTCATCAAAACGCATGAATAATTCGGTGGGCAAGAACACTGACATTAAAGCCCGCATGACTGGTGAATCAGACCATTTAGTTTGCACACGATTCAAATGATTTCGTGTTGAAAATTTCACCCCAAACGCCTAAACAGATAAGCACTTGTGTGTGCGCCGAGTTGGTAGTCTGATGGGTTGTTAGGATTGCCAGCGCTGAACAGACTGCAGACGTGTACCCCGCTTCACTTCAGTTGATGACATGTGATGGACAGCGATGAAGAGACCAGGTGAATTCTGGTCATGATGAGAGAACATCTGGTCACTTGACCCAGATGTCAACGCGCGACCATAGTTGCTTTGTCACTTTTTGCTTATCGCAGACAACATCTGGTGGTCAGACCAATGGATTAGCTTTCCAGTGGGACTATTGGTACGACGGTCGATAATTACTTTACTGGTTCACAAATCTCAGGCGTATTGAGAAAACGACCTGCTTGGTGATATGGAAATTTCGACTATGAATAAGTGTGGACTGGTGGTCAGAAGAACCGCCTCACTGGAAGTGGATACCACGGAGCTGAGACAGTGCTTGTTCCCTGTGGGAAGCTGGCACTACACTTGAATGCAGACCAGGTTGGACAATATCACACCTCATACAAAGAGTGATCTCAGGCTGTTGGAACAATAGAACATCTGTTTGTTGCGGAGACCATAGATCGCCATTTGTCGGGGAATGGAGTATGAGAATTGTCGTTCTGATTTCCAACAGGCGGTTGTCAATTGTCCACCAAACCATACCACAAGGGTGGCGAAGACGTAGTGCACTAACACTCACGTCTTAGTGTACTGCACCCCTGTTGATCGCTCCCTGTGCTGGTTCTTGCACAGCAGAACTATTCTGTCTCGCCTAAATCCTCGAACTTTACACACCGCTGGACGGTAATGGATTGGTGATTTGATATGCTATCTTTACCGGAATGTAAGCGGCTACTGAACCAGTGGGATCACACATACACAACGACTTCTTAATGAGTTAAACGGGTCATTTTACCCTGTTGGGATATTTCTGGATATTCAGTTGTTTCAATGAACCAGAGTATTTAGTCGCCAGTCGCTTTCTCGCGTTCCATATCGAGCAGTGTCGTTGCCCAAATTTTCTGCTAGCACCCGCCCAATCTGTCTTACGTTGAGTAATACTCTGGGCTCTTGGAAGCGGGCAAGTTCGGCGCCATTAGTTGAGTCGCGATCATTGTCCTTGTGATCATTTGTCTTCCGGTGGCTGTAATTAATAGACAGAAATTCAAATGTTAAAATATCATATTCGACTATCGGGAGCCTAGTCAGCCATACACCCGTGACATGCAACGGGTGCTGGTTTGCCATGAAGGACTTTTTTGTTCAATCTTCTCTAGAATTATTATCCTATCGTCCTTTGTATTCCTGATTTTGTGTAAAAGCACGTAAATCTATCAGTAGCACTCCATGTTGGGTCTAACATCCCCGAGGCGTGGGTGAATCTGTAGGTGATACGTATCGTTTCAACGGGATAGTCTCAGGATTAGTCGATTTCCGGCATGTGTTCTAATGTTGTACGAAATAAGGATCTCAGTGAATACCGACTAAATACCACACGGTTGACAGTACGTGGCTTGGAGACAGGAAACACTACAAAGGGTCACTGCTGAACTGGTGAATGTCTTCCGCGACCGTGCAGTATCAGAAATGCACCACACCAACGGTCGGAGATGATCACAGACCCGGCAATGTCATGCAACTAGTGACGGTGTTTTATCTGTTCTCTTCCTCTTAGGCACTAACCCAGTTTCGTTTTCTTCCTGTGTTTTAAACTACCTCCATTCTACACTGCTCGGAATCATAAGCTATGGTGACCGCAACCCAGGACACAAGTACACGGCTCATTGAACTGAAGTGACCTGTTCAGTAACACCACACTTCATTCCGAGCACCGGATTAGCTTTCGTACTTTGTCACCCAAGTCTCGATTAGGGTGCTTTTAATTTTTATCTCGCAGTGGAACTGTAATTGGTTTTGAAGCTGTCCCCCCAGTCAGGCTCTCTTTATGAATGATGATAACAAGAAGCAAGGCGTCAGCCAAACTAAAATAGGGACTTTCAACCTAATCTTAGTTTAACCACGAAACTATTAATATGATGCTAATCGCTCGGTTGTGGTACACTTCGATTGGATAGCTATCAAGTGAGTCGAAGAAACTACGAGGACTGAGATAATGCCAAGTTGGCCAAACTGCGACAGGAGCGATCGAACAGCCAGGTTTGGGCTCAAATCATGGACCTTTTGGTCAGTGGTAGCGCGGCTTAACTGTTGAGCTATGTCGAGCTCATTGTGTATATGATGCATCTTGAAACCGCGATGAATGTGCTTCTCTCATGAAAGATTTACGTTTCAGACAGCGCAGTTAGCAGCAATAATGAAGTTAGTAATTCATCGGTGAGAAGCGCTTCTGATTGAGCTCAAAAATACACGTCATAATTCCAAAGCTGAATTTGAAATTATTCTGAAAAAGATGTTTCGTATGTTGCCCCAGAAATAGGGTGTTCGGAACAAGTGAAGCAAAAAGATGCAAGCGGAAATTCCCATCGGTGCAATTCATCTCTTCCACCGTTGGGAATGCGCTCAGAATACAAATTTTGGAAAACATTCAGTTTGTTAAGGAAATCCCATTTCCACACTCAGTTTGGAGGATCCAACTGATATTAAACTTATGCAAAAATCTTACAATTTGATTGGCCTTTCTGCTTTTGTTCTTAACCGAAGTGTGGCTCACCGTGCTACTAACATCTGTAATTACAAATTACAACAAATTACAATTACAGCGGTGGTCTCCTACCCGACGAATTCAAAAAGAAGTACATGTTATCTCGCTACCCAGTATGATATGCGCATTGAGTTCTCGACAACGAGTAACTGTAAAAATTCACTTACACTTGTGTTGAATATGATTTGTAGCCAGTCTTAATGTAACATTACCAGGAAACATTTTACTGACTCAGAATGCACGTGATGTGTGCCAAAACTTCCACTAATTAACGTAATTGGACAGAACGAAAAGAAACTGTCATTAACTAGTTATTCACTGAGAATGTTTCATCATTGGCTGAAAGTGTGAATGCGTTGGTGTTGTGGAAAGGGATTCGGGAATGGAAAATGGCTACAAAGCATTGGTTGAGATCGAACTCTGATGGCCTCGCACATCGCTGTGATCAGATATATACGCAAAGTTTGGCCTGGTAAATGATCGGTCGTTTGTAACCGAACAACGCCTCGCTTTTGACAAAAGCTTCATCAGGCCAAAAGAGCAGGTCATCAAGTTAGCCAGGATTTAAGGCAGAGAACCAAACAATAGGATCTCTTCAGATAAGCACACTAGATCATTGCTGAATGTCTGAGGGTCTTGCCGGTTAGTGTGGTCACCTAAATCTTAAAGTTGATGGGCTGAGGAAGATTCATATTTTTTTATCAAATTTGCTTCCTTAATCTTCCACTTTAAGGTGCTTCAACTGATGATCAACCCTGGGTGCCACTAGTAGATTTCGTTGATCTGCGTGGACTAAGACAATTTAGTTATGGAGGGGAACGTTGAGGTTAAGCGCACTTCAGATCTAAGCTGTTCTCCACACGATTGTCAGTTCTGCGTCTTCTATTCCATTTACACTGGGAGTCCTGGTGATTTCCATCGCCAAGGTCATCAGTCCCTGTAACGTGGACCGTAGTCCCCACCTCAAAACTTCAGCACTTTCGAGATTTGCCTTGTGTCCCGCGTCCGGTACATGTTTTTCAGTAACACCCGATATTCATCTGCGTTTCCGGCGGCCTGTTTATTTTTCTTCTGTGCTCTCCGATTCTGACGTCTGTCCTATATAGACCTTAGCGCAGTCGTTACACTTAATTTTGTAGACACAGTCCCTGGTTTTTCGTAGGGAGACGATGCTTCAACTGCACCACCGCGGGACACAGAGATTCCCTTCTCGAAAGCTGCTCATAAGTTGGCTGTGTTAAGAATCGATCAAATAACTTCCGGTGTTCCTAGTTTGTATGGGATAACCGCAGCCCCAATGCATTCCTTGTTGGGTTTCATCACCGGTACTAAAACCCTTCGTACTTAACGCCTAATCAAACTAGCTGGATATTTACTACCCCGAAGTTTATTCTTTACTTCAAGTTGGACCGCTTTCCGGGCAACCACCTCTATGTACAGGGCCCTTACTCGGCTAAACATTGATGAGGCAATACTTGCGAGTACCGACTTCGGATGAGCAGTCAAGTATTTCAAAGTCACCCCAGTATCAGTTGGCCTCCCACAGTGTGGTTTTTAGTTTCGCGCCGACCTTATGTGTCATGCAGTCTAAAAAGGTCAGTGCAATCTCAATACTAAATTCGAAGCGCGGATTCAGTGATTCAGATAGTTGTAAAACTCACTAACCTTGTCTCGTTTCATCACGATGAAAGTGTCATCTACATAACGCCAGAATATCTTTAGTGAGCACGGGAACCCGGATAAAGCTTTCCGCTCAAAATCTTCTGTAAATATATTTGTCAAAACCGTTGATATTAGAGATCCCATTTCTAGACCTCGTTCTTTAGTGTAAACCACGGAGTCAAAAAAGAAATGGGTGAGATTCATGTATGCTTTTATACCTTCCACTATTTCATCTACCGTAAGTTGTGTTCGTTCCGGAAGGGTGATATCTGCTACTAGCAGTCGCTTAGTTATTTCCAAAGAATCCCCTCTAACATTTGTATATAACGAATTCATATCGAAACTTGCAAGAATGGTTCCACCCGCTAATTTGTAGGCAAAGTCGTATGAATTCTTATTATAAGTACCAGATTACACGGTGAAAAGTTTTAGAATACATGTCAAGGATCTGGCCAGCTTACGGGGTGGGGAACCTACTCCGTCTACTATCGGTCTCACTTGGACATCTGGTTTATGCATTTTCGGAAAGCCGTGGCTGGATTGCACTTCTGGGGTACAATCGATACCAATGATCTTGCCCCAAATGGTTTATCACGGACCGCAAATATCTGCCAATTACAGCCTTACTCTTATTCAGTATAGACGTAATATTCCAACTACTGGTCTGCCGGTAAGGATCTTTAGTTAGATGTTGTAGATGATCAGTCCTGTTCATGACAATAGTAGTGGTCTTACCCTTATCCACCTTGGTAATCACCTGTTTTAGGGTGTTTTCCGCTCTCCACTCTGTTGGTGTAATATTTGGAGCTTCTGGGATGTCACTAGCTGTAGTAGTAGTGGTCTCCTTTTCAACAGTTAACTCCTTCCCAGATCACTTCATGTGGTCCTTCAGAAGAGATAATAAGCATTTGAACAAGCCATCGAATTTTCCGACGAGTTGTTTACATGAGCTGAACGAGAGGACTAAGTCACTATGATACAATTCTAAAAAGAAACCAATGCTGTATAAAAAAATCCTGCCCACACAATAGCGAATAAGCCAGAAAAATATTGACAAAGTTATGCATATATATATATATATCGAAAAAAGCAAACTGGTTGACAAGTTGTCCAGGGCGGACTTTAGTGGGAATAAAGTATCAAGGGCAAAAAATTGTCACCACTTTGGTTGGTATATCTACATCCAGGTGTGCTGACTGAACCAGATAAATAGAAAACACATCAGCTGTTTTGAAACCACGCTTATTGTCCAGTCAAAGGCACAAAGGATGTCAAATAAGAAAGAACTTAGCGGAACCAAGTGCTTGTCAAAGAAATGCGAAAAGGCAAACAGCCGGTTAGTTAACTCTTCAATGTCCTCCTTCTCGATTAGCTGTGCCGCTCGAAGTCAGGGACTTGCTGTGGAGTCAAGAAACGAAGGAGGATAAAGGGAAACCTGTGTTTGAGCAGTGGGGAAGGAAGATCCAGAACTGCTTCCTTGTGGATATGTTCAAACATGTTTGACATAGAGTACGAGAGACACGTCTAACTCTTACGACGAGGTGGGCTGGAGTAGCGAATCCCTTTGCTAGATGCTGTTTCCGCATACATTGAGCTACGTTGTTGCAGTGACAGCGGAGATGGACACATAGGTCCACGTACAGTCAATTGTTCCAGTGAGTTAAAATCTACCAAAGAAGTGATTCGCGTACCGCGTGGCCATCTGACGTTCCTACCCAGTATTGGTTGGGTATGTGAGGTCCAATCATCCGGTATCCATCGATTTAACCATAATACTAGACAAGTAATATTATCTGACGCCCCGTTGGAAATGGCGAGCTGCGTTAGTTCTCGAGAAAGACCCTTTTCTACTTGTCCAGAAATTCCCGTGTGTTCTGTGAACCATCGCTGAGCAATGTGAGCCACCTCGACCGGAGAACAGTTTTCTGTATCCCACAATCCGTCTGATGCAACCACCAGACACAACGGACGTTGTCCCGCCTGTTTATTATACTTCCATGTGGTCACTGACGGTAATCCGGACACACCGTTCAACATATGATCATCACCAAGGGCGCGACTGACGCAAGACAAGCCACCGACGCGACAGTCTGACAAATTGGGATCCCTCAGAGCAGGAACTTGGAGAGTCTGCGCATCCGCACTAGGAAGGACGATATCATTGAACATTGACTTCTGGAATGCTCTTACAGTTTCACTGGGAAAGGTTGTGGTCACTGGAGTGTAACCATCACCCCGGCCGACGACGGTAGAGACCGTGCCACCAGTTCGAACAACGGAGACAAATTCATTCTAGATAGCGATAAAGAGAAGCGAAATATTAGTAGGCAACTCGACCACTAAGACTATCGCGAACACCAAGACGTAAATAGTACTTTTACCAGTTGCAGGTTGGACAGTGAACAACCTATAGTTAATACTAACGGTCGTTAGGCCATGTATAAAGAACCTGAAAGAAACAAGAGAGTTGAGTTTCCGACAAAATGTACAGGTACGGACAGCGGTGATGGGAAAGTGAGAAGCTGGGTTTAAATGCTGACTCGGTACGATGAGAAACAAAATTGAATGTCTATCAAATGGTTCCTCGAAACAAGGCAAACAAAACATGTTTGGATAGACTACCCCTTAGAAAAGGCCAATTATTGGTTTGTTGATGAATATTCCAACAGTACATTCCCTACCACAAAAGACCACTTTTTCGGTTTGATGGGGTGTGGTGTCCAGAAAAAGATGTTCGTTGCTGCTCAGACTTTTGAAGTGGATTATTGTCCAAATGAGAAAAACCATCTCGAAGGATGGCTTAGCCTTACTGCCCTAGAATACTATTGGTTAAAATGTACTCTGATGGGTCAAATTAGTTCACTGATACGAAACCATGTTTCAGAAAGTGCATCTCCAACAATGTCCCCCCAACCTCTCGGATATACTACTCCATTGTGGTAAAGTATTGTTCGAACTCGAGAGTGATAAGAGGAACGAAGCGAAATGTGCTTTGGTTTGAAGTAGGAAGGGCGAGTTTGGCTAATTTAGCTATTTGGTCGATTGGTCACTTTGAGTGCATCAATAGCATCCAAAGATTCAGTAACGCATCATAGAACAGCAGTCTGGAACGACTATGGTAATCGCAACATAGAATTAAACTCATCACCGATAGAGCCTCAGTTGAGGACTGTTGTTCTCGACCGTAATCCCAGTTTCCAAAAGGGAGTAAGAACGTCATGTGAAAACCATCGCGGTGTCAGTCTGGTATCCATGGTATCTACGGTGCTCTCTGGCACTATTTTGCGCAGGTTGATGGATTCTCGAGAGACAGAGATTCGTCTATATCAAGCTAGGTTTCGCCCTGATGGAGGACGCATCGACCATATCTTCACCTCGAGACGAATTTTTGAACAGCGCCACTACTTCAGACGTTCACGTTGGTCGTTTTTCTTGATTTGAAAGCTGATTTTAGTTTTGTCAACCGTCGGAAACTTTGGCAGTGTCTAGCGATCAAAGGTGTCCCTTCCAATTCCATATCCCTTATGATGGCGTTGTATGCGAAGCCCTGTGGGTGCGTACGAGTATACGACAAGCTTTCGCCTGAGTTCACCACGTCCATTTATGTAAGACAAGGCCGTCCTCTCTCATCTTCCCTCTTCAACTTTGTTACTGATATGCTGCTTGAAATTTATCTGCCTGTCTCTGAAACCTCGGGAGTCGAAATGCTCCGGGACGTTTCCCCACAGACGTTGAGTGTGCAGAAAATATTGCTGTCCTTGGTTAAGATTCCTCCCAAATACAAACGATTTTAACTAACCTAAATAACTCCACCACACGGTTTGGCATGCGCTTCACATCTGCGAAGTGTAAAGTGCTGCTACAAGACAGGGTGGGATCAAACCCATACCACATACTTGCAGGTGCCAATGTGACGTCAGTTTGTCTGTCAAGGGCAGAGTTTACACTGCGTCAGTGCGACCCATACTGCTTCATGGATCAGAGACGTGGTCTCTACATGCAGAGGACATCCGAAAAAAAATGTCAGTGTTTGACCATCGGTGTCTAGAAGTATTGGTGAGGTTTAGTGAGAACATCGGATTAGCAATGTTGAGGTACGCCAGATGATCTTAGGAAGAAGGAACTCTCCCGTGATGGATGAATTATTTACGCTTCATAGGTTACGCTGGTTGGGACATGTGCTTCGCATATCAGAAAGACCGTCTGCTTTGCAGAGCATCTATTGCCTAACCCCGTGCTGACTGAAAGCGACCGAGAGGTGGACAGTGTATGACCTGGCAACGAAGTGTGAAAACACTAACCAGTAAACTTGGTCATGTCGGCAACTGCCGTCTCCCCAGATGGAGGCCCCGGGTCTCAACACACCAATGGCTAGTGACACTGGCAGAAATGGCCTAATCGCGCAGTCAATGACACTCATGCATCAAATTTATCGCTTTCAATGCATAGCTACCCAAATTCCGAACAAACTGAACATGTCATCTTTTCCAAGGCTTGGCTGTATGCCGCACAATCTCCCGTTTTCCGGTGATCGAAACTGTAGCAGCTGGAATCAACGTGCCTATGGTACACGGTTTATAGCTGATAAACCGGTAAATTGATTGATTAAATCACCGAACAGGAATCAACGTGCCTATGGTACACGGTTTATAGCTGATAAACCGGTAAATTGATTGATTAAACTCACCGAACACTAATTGAAAAGAGTGAAACTTGGTATAGGCCAGCAATGTGTCGAGACGACCGACAGTCATCCTCTACGGAATGAACACTGCAGAGTTCATAACGGCGTTGTAAACCAAGGTGCCAAGGTCTGACCTGCGCTTTATTTAGATAAAAATTCCTATCAATGAGTAAATTTACCCAAGTCACTGTAAAGTAACAAATTTCCTCGTTCACATTGCAGTTCTTCGGAGTGTGTTACAGTAAAGGAGGCACAGCCGGGTCATAAAGCATGAACAGGCAGTGAGGCTTTGTCGCATGGAATCGCATCTGAACCGTGGTTAATCAAACGATACAGGCATCCAATCGTATCAGTCCTGAGACTTCTCCCCCCATTTGCCGTGCAGCAGCATCATGCATTGGCTAAGTACATATATGGTAAGATAAGAGGACAACAGTTTGAGACAACCGGACGCTGTGAATATTGATGGCCCATATATCATTCCTCGGCCAGCAGTGTACCAGGCAACCCAAGTCCTCTATTTAAAAACTGGTCCGTTGTTCATGAAAAGAGATGAATGACTGTGGAAATGAACCACCAAGACGCAATCACCAAACCATTTGTTTCTGGTTTAGTAACGAAGTGGTAAGGGCATCGACGTTGTCGAGGCCCAGTAAGCGGAACCATCGCATGGTTCGTATGAAAGGTTATGCAACATCAGCATCTACTTTTGTTCGTAAGGATATTCGAGTCCCCGAATTCCTTTTGAAACACTCTGCTCATCAACCGAAGAGTTAGTGAAATAGAACGTCGGAGCACAAATATAGCTGAAGGGCCGAACGCTCATCGACCCTTTTGATGGAAGCCATTCCTCTTCTTGGAAGCAGTGATGTATATTTAGCCCACCATCATCACCACTAGATTAGAAGGGTGATCACTAATTACACCGGATTACAGCCTTGATTCCCAAGAGAACAGATACTTAGTTAATGGGAGTTAATGGCTAGTAAACTGCAGTCAAAAGAACGACCAAAACAAGTGCATTTTGTAAAAAAAAGTGGGTTCATACAGGAAAAATTTGCATGAAAATCAACAAACGTTACGAAACTCACGGCAAATTCGGGGCGGTGTATCGTGTCCGTCAAAGCAAGTGCCAAACCACGAGGACTGGTGGGTGGGACACCCATTGGAGAAGGACTTTGTTCTTGATTACTTGTGCTAGTTTTGACGACGCTGTCTGAAACGTGCCCATTAAGTTGTTCGGACCTCGGGCGGATGACCGTCGAACCAGCTAAAGTGACACACCGTGGAGGTTCAGATTTGTGGAATTCTGTCGTTTGACAGGTTTGGCCAGTGGTTGAGTGTGCTTTTCCTTGGAGTTCTTTTGGCATGTTTATTAACCATGCTTGTGAATCTCCTACCCAGGCAGTTGAAATGCAGTCTCCATGGATAGCACACACTGTTGCGGTGGTTCCGGAGGACCAAAGCTTTAGGCAATAACAAACAGAAGAGTGGATAGGGCTGTTTCCTATATGGGTGAAATTTTACCACTAGGATGAAATCAAACTCAAACCTCATACTTGCGGGCCAGCCAATCAACATGGTAGATGAATTCATATACGTGGAGAGTTCTTTATGTCGAGATACGGTCACGCCTCGAAAGGACTAGATTCGCTTCTGTCAACCGTCAATACTACTGCACCGGAGTGATCAAGTTTGTTTGTCAAAGGTAAAGTATAAACCACAGCAACCTCTTCATACTGTCTTACGGATGAAAAATGAGGCCTACACGTGTAGATGTACGAAAACTTTTTGAGTACCTCTGAAGTACTGCTCATGACTGGTAGGAACATCACATAGACAAGGCAGATAAGCTAGATGGACTAACTGATCCTGTTTCATGGGTCAGGCTCGTTGGGGTATGCGGAAACGACAAAGAAGTACGAAAACCCCGACCAACAAAATTAGTAAGATCGAAAACTGTCACTTCCATGGATTGGGACCTTGGGATTCAGTACACCAATGGTTGATGTGCATGACACAGTCACACAACCAGTGGCTTTGTCACATGAAGCCTATCATCTTCGGTACGCAGGTGTTCAACTCTCAACCGCTTCCATTCCATATTACAAGCCCTGCATGGGGCACAGATATGTTTGGTAAAAAAGCAAGAGCTGGCTGATGCAGAAGGGTATTTCTCCGTTAATGAGAAGAAATTTTTCTCGCCAGTGCGTTAGTTATCCTGTGAAACATAGGTGATGATGAGTAACCAAGAGTTTACATCCCCGAATACTGAAAGCCCTAACCCATTTGATGTGCAGCCTAAATACCACTTTAGCAGATGAGCAGCTGGGGCGTTAAATTTCGCAAATCGGACTACCGCAAAGTTGTGAAGTTACAAGGATTAAGGAAGCACAGCCATGAAGAAGTCCGGCGCGACCAACCGAATTTCGTTAGCCGGTCAGTTCTGGAGTCTACTAGTTTTATTCCAATTGTCATGAACCGACCTAATTCACGAAGTAAGTACGATTACCTTTGCAATATCAAATTTCTGGCTGAGTCCGTCAACCTAAGCGTTGATGCCAGATTTTTTCGCGCCCGTAGCCATCATCTGTGAGCTAAAATGGTTGGACTTGAATAAGTATTTAGCGAACGACAGTTCAGAAATTCGCCCTTAGTCGACTCGCTACATCAGGCACCCTGAACTGAAAGGATATTAGTGTTTGATACTTCACACTTTGTCCGCCGACTGATTCCCAGCGAGAGCAGTCTGCGTGAGAGCGAGAACGGCGCAACGTTGGAACTATAGGTGATCAGTCTTCACTGGCATGCGAACGAGGTAAATCACACTTGATTACGGCGCCACTTATTTTTTTCTGAGGACATGGGGCGTTATCAACAGCGTCCCTCAGTTCCGATTCAAAGCCATTGTTGATCGATTTGCCCTGGGGTGACCCAATGAGACGAAGTCAGATACCGTTATCCTTATCATCTAGTATTGACTGCTAAATTAAACTCGTCGATGTCAATCCAGTTAGCTGAACAGGGTCACTACGGTTCACTCAAATGATGTTTGTCGCGTTTGGAGAATTCCAGTGACCAAGGCAACCCATGGAAGGCAGTTGTGTGGGGCAGTTTTGGCCTAGCGTTTCGTCACGCATTTGTAAACAGGATTCCGCAACACAAGAACAAAAAGAACTAGTTCCCTCGATCAAGGACATCTCTATAGTTGTTGCTTCTCATCCATCGCAGAAAAAGCTCCCGGATTATCGTGCATCAAGTGTCATGGCTGAGTTTTCGTTCCACAAGTGCTATACACTCCCAGGCCCATATATTCGTTTAGTGACGGTGATTCCAGCAAAGAATGCGTATGCTGGATGATCCTTGCCAACCAAATTCTCTGTGCACAGTACGATGGTCGTATACCTACATCGTCAATTTTTTTATTCGGGAGGTGGGGATATAACCCCTATTATCTCCTTCAATTACTAATTGACCAATCAACAAATCAAGCTGGAATAAACCTAACAAGTCAGGGAATTGGTTGTGTTATTAAATTGACTATCAAACCCGCTGGGTACTATCCTTTGCACAGACAGGACATGGTATGGCAGTGTGGCGCCGAAGGGGTGAAACAGCTGAACGATTTTTTAGACTGTGACTAATGATGTGTTTCGTGTCCGACAGAATGCCACTCTCCACCGCAGTACCTGCTGTGCCAGAGTCTGTTCGTATAGCATTTTTATCCATTCCCTGTCATATTTCTTATCACATATTATGTGTAAGCAAACAACGGAAAAGAGAGAGTGTGCATTTCCACAATAAAACTGCTCGCAGTCTACGACCAGTTTCTGTTTTCTTGGAATTTATCGAGCAGTCGCGCTGTCTGGGTCCAAGTAGATCAAAAAGTTGGCGGAAACTCGCATACTGCCTGTTTGGTGAGCTCCAAGAGGGAAGAGACTGGTCTGGGGCTATTGGACATTTTCTCAGCGGCTTAAGAGGCGTCTCTCCAAGAAAATACACTGCAAATGAGTGTATTTCGCAAATATGCCTTCCAGTTCCTTTCGCAATAGTGTATCAACTGTAACTCACTGACGAGTGAAAACGAAGTTAAATTTCGGGTTAACAAGAATATTTACTACGCTACAACTACACCGGGCAGCTGAAGTGGATTTTGGGTTCAATATTCCATGATTGGACAGCAGTACAATAGCGCGTATTCGTCCGAAAAACTTAAGTCAACAGTACAAACGTCTTAGTTTCGAAGGCATTATCACTTGCTTAATTCTCCTCTTACAAAATAGGTGCAACTTAACCTCGCCGTTGTCAACGGTGAAAACTAGGCGGAAAAACGTTAGTATCAGTGAGCTCGACTACACTGTTCCTCTTGACAATGAGGAGTGTGTCTTTAGAGCTTAAAGTAACCGTTTGTTGGATAAGTGAAGAAGGACTGCGTTAACACAGAGTCGGATTCCAAACAGATGTCGAGCAGTGGACGACATTGGTTGTGGTTGGTCGGGTGACCTTCAATGGATGTATGTTCACTCTAACCGGCTGCCGTTAGTCGAAGGTGGACCTCTGTTTCCCCCCGCAGGTGGTGAGGCACCTTCATTCGAAGCGATACATCACAATATTTGGCGGATGAATGTAGGAAGACTCTGACTGGCGGGGTAGCAGTGAAGTTTCCAGTGTAAGATGTTGGAGGACGACCTGTGATCGGTCATCCACGAACACCGGACAAGGCAGTCTTCAGTGGGAAACCGACGAAAACATTCAGCATGTGCATCTTGGATATCCATGATCACAAACATACGGTCAACCAGATAGTGGATTTTATGGGATTTTCCTGAGTGTCAAGGAACATCGGTCACTGAGCTAATGCTCTTACATCTACCGTACAAAAATGTTTGCTTCAATTTTCAGCGCTCCTTTTACAGACAAAAGGACGGAATAGCTATGAGGAATTCACCGGAAACTGTTTTCAAAGGCATTCTTACGGGCTAATGGAACAGAGAGCAGAAGCCCCCATATAAAAAACCGTGTCATATGTTGAATGTGTGCCATGTCTGGATATTTTTCGAGTCTTTAGAGGAAGCAGAAAACTTTGTTAGTTTTTTCGATACCCTAGTGTTAAGGGCAGTGAAGAAAATGATCGGGTATCATTCCTGAATATCGGGCTTAATGATACATTCATCCTGAGATCTCTCTGCCGCACGTAAACGTGGACCAGCCACTACTCTGATTTTACTAGTTTTGTTCCAGTGAAGAATTGGTGAGGAAAAGTGAAAACTTTGCGATAGGAACAAACGGATACACCAATCGGTATTCATGTGAAAACAGAATAATGGACGTCTCTAACTTGGATACCATTCTTTCAGTTCCAAAACTTGATGTTTTTATGCACCTGATATTCAGAGATTTTCCAAAACGCACTTGAAGATTGTAAAACCAGCCGACTCTACACTCGCCACCACAGTGCGACTCCACCAGTAAAAGTGATTCTATCATTGGTCCACAAAATCTGATGTGATCCGTCGTTTCGCATTCATGTGCTTGGGGAGAGTACGGAAAGACAACTCTGACTGCGGATAGCCAAACACGTACCACTTAAAGTGAAGAGGTTTGTAATCGAATCAGCCTGATACCAACACCCGTCATTGTACATCACCCAACACCTTTTCGAGAGTATATATACTGAACTGACATAACACTGCAGGTGGGATCCGGCCTCACACATCTAACAGATGATTTTTTACATTTGCATGGGAAGTTCCGTGGAACTATGTAGTTCGAAGCGGCTGTTCGTTTTGTCGGGGTCACTCTGGTGATTTGAAGACTCAGGTGCCATTTCCAGTTTCTTCTTATCACGTCACCTGAAGAAACTCAACAGAAAATGCAAGCCTATAGTGCTATGTGCGATGTTGCCATTTGCATTCGGAACAGGGTTTTTACGATTAAGACATAATTATACCCCGACACCGAGGAAGACTGTAGGTTGCAATACGAGATCTTGAGATGAACCGAATTCGGTCACACAAATGTGGAGCAAAGCGTAGTAGATAAAGATAAGCAAGTGTGGAAGAGTGATCGGAGCACTCACGTTGTTTCTGTGTCCCTCATTTACCGATTCATTGAGTTCGTAGAACAGATTGGCCAGTAGATCTGTGATGGAAGGCGACTGATCGGAGGATTGCTTCGACAGCCCCAAGCTGAGCAAGTATGGGGCCAGATGAGAGCAATGTTCGGCAGCCTCTGGTCCGTTGTGGCCATCAAATACGGCAATCGCAGATACAGGAGGGGATGATGCCGGTTTGTTTTTAGAGGGCTGCGAGGTGAAGAATAGGTGAATGTGGATAATAGTTCTCTTAACCAATGCCACCTCGAAGCGACAACTCACTTTGTCCTTCTCATCAGAGTAAGTTTGACCTGATCGATTCGACTGGCATTCTTGATTGAATCATCGTTTTATTAATGAGCGTTTAGAAGCTTAGCATAATCATTTCCGGAGCTTGACAGACTGCAAGCTCGTTTATTGTCGACCATACTAACAACAGGCACGCTGAAGACCTAAGCTCCGCAACAAAGTACACACGGGTAATTCATCTACTGTAGCATCCATTTTACATTCAGACACTCGTCAGGTGATACACGTGAGTCAATCTAGTGGTTCTGTTGAGACGTTTTGCTACAAGCCACGAGTTAAGTCTGAAATAGACATACACAGGCAGGGAACGGCTAATAAGAATTCGTGTGCACAGGATGAGAATAGAGCACTCCGTATTGGCAAAAACAAAACAAAGCCGGTGGGAAGTCCAGATTGAGAGGCGAGTCGATAAATGACTGACAGAAAGACGGAAAAGAGTGAGTTCGTGGGAACTAGCCCCTCGTAGAGAAAACAAGTAGGATAAGGGTTAAATGAGGGTAAGACAACGAAAAGTGACAGACACACACTGAGTGGCCAAAAAGGACCAACAACCAACAGTGATCCACAGTACCGATGGTAATGGCAATGACTAACATCAGTCGGCTTGTGAGGAAATGGCTCCAATCGTTTGGGGGCATGGTCATCTGGTTCAGTCACGTGCCGGAAATCATTGTTGGCTTAACTGTTTTATTTTTCGTCCCAGGAGGCAGACAAGAGTGAGTTGGTCGAAACATTGCCTTCATATTGCTATGCCTGTGCCAGTCAGCCACAGAGCGAACAACAAATACCACAAGAACCTTAGCAGAGTTGATGGCCATTTGAAAAAGACTCGAAAATGGATGATGAAGGCCGTCGCGTACATAACTCCAAATATAATTCGGTATTGTGAAGAGTATAGTGACCCCAATGCACAGCAAAGTCTAGAACAAGTAATCACCGGCAAATTTCCATGACTTCCCACCGTCATCTTCCTAGAGAATCCACGAAGGGTTTCCATAGAGAGTGAATCTGCTATCCAATAAAGTTCACGAGGCTATTTACCCACCAGAAAGGCATATCATACATTCTCATTCATTTGTTGCTGTCAGGCAAGCGCCGTCCATGATGCAGTAAGTATAGCGACTCTTCAAGAGTGACTTCTTGGAGAAGAGACCACTACTCCGGTGCGTGAGTTCACTAAATCCGTTCCCTTAAATAGCGACCGAGTATGCTGTTCTAAGCCACCTCCAAGGTGGCTTCTTCATTAACAAGAGGGAATGATTGTTGGGTCTCGAAAAAAAGCTCTCCAGAGTTGCTCTTAAGAGGGTTAGAGAACGAAGCCTACATATAAGTCTACAGCAGTCGATCGTCACAAGGCTTAAGTAATTCAGCATGTGAGCCTGAGTTATTCGTCTGAATCACATTCCAAGTTGCTTCTATAAAAATCAATAATACCCAAAACTTGTGAACATCCGATGCATTAACCCAGATGGCAGGTTGCAAGTTGTACTTCCCAACTCAAAGAAACAAGAAATGTCGTGTTGTCAGTGAGTGGTCAATGCTACAACACGTAGAATTACCGTATCTTGGTCCTTAAAAGCCACCCTTGAGCAACTGGAAACACCTGACAGAAGTAGCTTCAGTTGTCAATTGAAAACCCTGAGCCCGGGCCCCGGAAACACAACGGCGCTGTGATAAAAATGAACCGCCCGTTTATTACATGCTTTCCATACTACTAACCAAAAAACAGTAACTTCGATATTTCAAGTACTAGTCTAGCTGCATTCCGAAGCAGGCTTTGCGCTGCATATTGGGTTGAAAAACACCAAAAGCGAGAGATGAGTCCCACGCAATGTGAAACTGGCGGGATATTGTCGGCGGTTTTATTTAAGACTCCAGATTTACTTGAGAAGATTGAACACCATTCAATGACCGGTCAATGAGTACACAAAAGCTGAGAAAGATGAAAACAGCACACCTACAAAAAGACCGTACATGAAACCGAACTTCTGTGCATTCGTTCATGGGAGCTGTAAGTTTGGAAATAATGATAATGACCTCGACGAATATCCGTGACTTCGAGCTGGAATCACGGAATTCGGTCCCTGAATTTATGATCGATCCCACATATGTACTGCTGTCAGCTGATGAATTCATTGCTCGATTCAAAGTTCGGTTAATCGGTCAAATTAATTACAGTTGAAATATTTGCCTGCAACGGTTCTTGCTCCACAGCTCTCCTCTTTGGGCGATTCCATCAGACGGTCCGTGGGGCCGGAGGCACCGTGCACGCCTCGTTTCTGAACGCGTAGAGTCCCTTCCATTCGTCATATATGGGTGCACCTCTGTGTTCAGATGTCAAAACGCTTATCACAATCATCTCAAGTTAAGTCTAGTTACGTCAATACTGTCCGATCATTCATTAGTATCTACCTGGGCATAAAGGACCGCAACCCAGAGTTGGATGGCAGACGAACAACACAGATATCATCGTAAATCAGTTATACATGAAATTCTGAGAACACCATAAACCAGGAGAATTATCCTCAAACGCAGGATAGACATAACAAAACAAAAACTCAGGAGGTACACCTAACCATGCATATTATTTGGCGTTAGTCGCCGGTGTCTTTTTCCATGGTTTTACAACCAGCAGTTACAAATGAGAAGCGGGGAATGAATCGTTAGAAGAAATCGACACCAAGTCTGATTTGGATTATTACGCCCTATCTAAAATTTCATGAAAAAGCTCATTAGGTGACACTGGGATGACATCTGGGCCAGATTATTCAAGCCTGTTTCCATACAACTAGATCAAACTTGGGGGCAGGGTAGTACTATGGAATCGTCATAGTATGCGATTCCGAAACTGACAGGGTTGGTCTCGACAGAACACAATAGTCATAAGGTTGCTGGAAACTTTCCAACAGCCCAAGACCGGTTTCGCCCACCAAGTTTCCGCTTTGCTGAAAAACACTACGATGATGAACTAGGCGTCCCATACTTTCTTCTCTAGCCGCCTAGTATTCTGTTACCACGACTAGGATGTCACCAGTGAAGAGTGACAAAACAGGCGGACAGACTGGACATATAAATACCGTTTGATCGAATATTCATGACAGACTTGATAAAAAATAGGGAATGATAAAAGGGTACTCAATTTCGAAGCAACGCCAGCTACCTTAGTCCGACTGTGATGTTGACTAACCTACGAAATAATTTCTAGGAAGGCACGAAACAAGGAGCTATCGTGGGAACCAGAGAGCGTGACTATGTACGATATGTTAGATCCGAACAAGCTTCTATGAAAAGGCAGAAAAGGTCATTCGAGCAAAACCGTGTAAGACAACTCCCTGGATTGCTGACGTCAAAAGTCTGGGCATGAGGGTGTACAAATGTTCTTAACTGCAGCTTATTAAGATCAACCAACCAAATCGTGCGCTAGCACCAACATATTCGGTAGTGTGCATCCCCAACCCCGTCATCAGTATATCTGTATTCATCTCCAACGTTGTCTAGAAACCTTGATTTCTCCCTTTGCGATTTTGCTGAACACAGGAGAGGTTGTGAAAAATGTCCGCCCATTAACTGACGTTCTATTAGTCCACAAGGATTTTGTCAAATTACTCAAAAATTGCAGTTCACTTCAAGGTCACAACATCAGTGAGACCAGGGTGACTTAACAGGCGGTGGTTTCATTTCCTGAAGACCTCGGAAATCGGGTTGTGAAAAAGATGTAGCGGAAGGAAGAAGATTGTAGCACATCTGAATAATATTTGTGGCTCAGTAAAAGAGAAAGAATTCTGAGCAACAGTAAATAAACATCAATATTCCGCCTGTCTTAGTTACTCAAAAGATCAAAGCAACTGTTGTGAACTTCGGACCTTATAGCATGGATATAGGGCCACGGATACCATCATTGCTGCTTATTCCAACTGAGGTGATATTTAACAGCATCTTTTTGAGTGAAAATGGGTAATTCACAATGTGGATCTTAGACTTTGGGTCCCATCAACGCAAAAACTTGTTCAACACGCTAGGCAACAAGCCCAGAGTTCAGCTTTCCACACAGCTACCTTAGCTACCTTCAGATGACCTTTCCGGCCAAACATGCAAAGATGACAATAGCCTCTGTTGCTCCAATCGGCGTACTGCGTCGAAACGATAGAATAGCGCTCAAAAAACACGCCGAACAATTCTGCGAAATAGGTCTGAGGGCTGGTCCCGTCAGGTGCGCGACAATTGTGCGGGTCATCTGCCTGGCTAGTCCAGGTTTAAGCAGCTCGGTTTACGATACTGAATTCTATCACACATGCACCGAGTCGTCCGGCCAAACTTGCTGAACAGTGGCAAATAACAACCTTAGGCTTGTTGTTGATCAGTCGACCACTGTCAAGAAGCACTCTTAATTATGCAGAATTAAAGTAGTAAACCCTATATATCTAAGCACTTTAAAATGTGGGCTAGCAGTCCATTTCGAGACGAACGTGAACTCGAACCCCATTAGTTAAAGTGGAAGGTAGGGATGTTAAACACAGACCTACCCGATGAATGAACGTAGTGAGGCGAGATTTTGAAAACTATGTGGCTTCCAAAAGGCGGGTGGAGGAAGAAACAACTAGTGGAGTGTCAGTAAATTCAGCAGAGCTACCAAAAAGAAAGTCACATACGTCCGCTACGCCTACTGGACTTGAAACGTGCCCAAACGATGCACCTCGAATCTTCTAAACTGGTGCAAACCAAACAGTATCGTCATCTTCTATCTTATCTAGCTCAAGATTCACGTCAATATTAACGTACTACTGACATCGGTTCTTTCAGGTAAGTACGTACCACCATTCCATTTTCAAAATGCATCTAAAAGGTCTACGTTCGAAGCTCAAATAAATACAGTATTGTCACCAACGAAATTAACAAAGCACTTACACATTTTAAACAACACGGATGCTACTTTGAAGTGCCTTAGGGCGGGGATACAGATGTGATTAGTAAGACAGTAAAATGAGTCAAGTGGACATCATGCACTCTGAAAAAAGGTGAGTCAATGCCTCAGAAGCTTGTATTAGCCAACTTGTGGCCTGCGTTTAATAGTTGAAACCGCAAACTCAACTGAGACTGGATTTCCCTCCTAGTGAGATTCACTAGTCTAGGTGGTCTGCCAAACTCCGAAACTAAATTTTGTACAGAAAAGCGCGTGACAAAAATTTAGATAACTCACAACGACCTACCGTCCAGTAGACCAACGCACCATCGATAACCGTTCCCAATATGAACTACCGGTGTCCGGTTTTAGTCAGCAATAGCGGGTAACAACTGTGCTAGACAGAGAAAAAACATTTCCCAGCCACAGCTACGCCAAACGTTGTCCACTGACACTGACATCGATCACCAGGGCTGTTTCCGCTGGATCTAGACAGTCTTTATCTAAAAACACGGCACTTGTATTGCGTCATTCGCATAAGGCCAACAGAAAAAGACAAAAACATGTGCCAGAGATACATTTTTAAAAAAGGTGACAAGACTGGCGACATGCTGCAGATAGACAACACTTGTGTACAACATATTGCGAATAGGTGTCGCGCAGTTGCCTTTTGCTGGCTCGTGTGTCTTTGCTAAGTAATATATTTTATTCAAATTAACTTTTTCATTGTTGGGTCCATCATTGCAAACAACGATTAAACGGCATCCGTGAAGCGGTCAGATAAGTAAGGGTTCCGTAAAGGTATACAAAAGAGCTATCCCGGTTTGGACGTAGTACACTAATCATAAGATTACTGCTTTTACTCATACCGATTCGGTATCGTTCAGCTGTAGCACCCTTTCGGTGTCTAGCTGCCATGCCACACGATGGAGGCACGAGGGCTGGGATACTGCCAGGTTGCCCAAGCCTAGACAGATGAAGTCGAGAGGCAGAGGCAGGATTCGAACCACGGACCTTCCGGTCAGTAAATTCGCGCCCCCTCGATTCAGTATGGAGATAAGTGTATAAGTCAAACTATTCTGGTTGTTTACCAACTGGTTCTCTGATTGAGGAAGTAGAACATTTGATGTAATCGGAATTGAGTGACGCGCGAAAGCAGAAGCGACGTCTTGAGATTGACCAATAAAAGGCGGCACCAGTTGTGCAAAAACACGTATGTGGAGAGAACAGAAACCTCAAACTATGGGAAATCCCACCCAAGTTGTACGAATTGGTGTAAGTTCAAAGAAAGCCCGGAGAGAACAGCAAGTGGATCTGAACTAGCGACAACCACGTGCGCACAGAATGTGGGAACGCAAGTAGGATTGAGATGGCTTAGTGGTTAGAGCGCATATTTGCCGACCGGAAGGTCCGTGGCTCGAACCCGACCTCTGCCTCCCGACTTCCTCTGTCTAGACTTGGGCAACCTGGCAGTATCCCAGCCCTCGTGCCTCCATCGTGTGGCATGGCAGCTAGACACCGAAAGGGTGCTACAGCTGAACGATACTTTCTTCTGTAGCGTAAGTGATCAAAAAACGCGTAAAATGTTCGCAAAATTGGTTCGATATGTCAAGGGTCAAAAGTTAATGAGGGATTGAGGGTGTATATCGAATTTATGAGGTAGACGCAGAAACCAGTAGGTTCAGACAAAGGGAGGGTTTGACCGAAGGAAAGGAGGCACAAGTCTGTTCAGGCCTCAGTAAACAAGGGACAGTGTGAGCTACATGTATCAAAAGCCTTGCTTCCTCGTTCGATACCATTAAATTAACAATGAACTTCTCATTTCACGAGGCAGCAGAAGGTTCTGTGCTAGCTGCGGGAATATTAAGTTGATCAGGACATTTTGTCTATCATTCTAAATGGGACTAAGACAATGAAACTTTCAACAAGCCAAACCTCTCGATTTCAGATTCTGCCTACTTTAGGAAACATAATCAATTTCCAAACAAATGGGGAAAATGGACAACACTTGGGGGAAGTCAGAAAGGACAAAAATTAGCATTAAATGGACAGCGCAGTCGAACAACATGAGAAGCCACATATAAGCCTGAGCTGGAACGATCGATTGAAAAGCGTGTTGGACAACTTTGGTGTGATACAAAAACAGAACGCGAATTGATTAACATTATGGTTCTCACTCTCTCTTATGACCAATACAGATCGAGGGATTACGAAACGAAAAACGAGCGATCTATACAACCATAACAAGGATAAACTGGAGTCTGCGGGCAAAAGTGTGAAGACTGTTTACGTCACAGTTTACTGGACAACGGTCATGTGAGCAGACCCATCATCGTCATCAGCTGCAAAAACCGCGTACAGTGGTTTTAGCTGCCACAGTTTCGATCACTGATGCTTCGGGGGTTTGGCGCTCATTAGAGGCGGAAGTTGATATCATTGATGCGTAAACACAGAGTTGTCGGTGGAATTTCAACCGGGGAGATTGGGCATTGAAGGCAATAGCTTGGATGTACGAGCGCCATTGGGGGCACGACTGGGCCATGTCTGACAATGTCTCCAACAATTGATGTGGCCCGTCTCGGGGTCATCATCAAGGAAGACGACAATGACCAGCGCAACTGAGTTTGCTGGTAATCAACTCCATACTTCACTGCCAGGCCATTGACTTGCCCTGGCTTGTTTCCATCCTTCAGGTTGTGCGAAAATAGCCCTCTGAGGAAGTCGGCCGACTGGCATACAGAGCACGTGGCCAAACCAGCGCAACCTATGAAGTGTGATCAGTTCATCTATCCTGGTCGAGTTATTTCTTCGGAAAACCACCTGACATACTTCATCATTAAAGATCCCAACCACCGACCCATGGCTACGCTCCCTAACAACGCAGTGATGATGTCACCTCCGTTGGTGATGAAACGTTTGCAATCAAATTGCCCAGCTCAATGAACAAACCAACCACCATCTATGCCACCTGAGTTACCAACATTCTCCTCTATAGCAAACGTTCTTCGAATATTAAACCATAAACGAACGATGCAAAGCAGTTCCACAATTTCCGTAGTAGCCTTCACCTGCGGTCAGATACGGGGGCGGAGCCTGGACACCGGACAATAAGCTACATGCACGCTTCATCAGTAGTATACACCGTTACACATCTTTCCTCTTTAAAGATCGCGTGCATGCCATCGATGTTCCATTGGCCTAGTTAGGTTGGCCTCAGCAGCTGGTTTATTCAGCACCTCTTCAGGTGTATCGTGCCACTTCCGAAACTGGGCACGGTTTACTGTTTTCGACTCTCCAACGTCCTGAACTGTATAAACGTTCCCTTGGCAGTCGGTAACGGCAAACAGGCGACCCAATTTCCCTCCTTTCTGGATTCTGCTGATCCTTCCATTTGATCTTTTCACTTGTGAGGAATGATCGTGCCTTCCTACCTGCCGTTTTCTGTTCAGTCCTTTCTTAAACGGCGGTCAAGTTTTCTGGGCTCTCCGCCTTTCCTCTCCTAGCTCCTCCGGAGGCAGACATTTTGTCGGCCACAATCCAATTTCCCGATCAATTGGAAGGCGTGGATATCTAACGTACACCAACATGAATCTGGATAGACGCACGATGGGATAACAGCACAATCGGAAAGTTTACTTCCCAGCTACCTCCTTTGATCACCGGGAACTCCTTAACCGTTAGGTTAGGTTGTTTGTTTGCAATGGGTAGGTTGCTGTCCTTCGCCGCTTTATGCCCAGCCACTGGAAGCAACTCGTGAACTGATCATTCTCAAAGCACGGCTCCTGATCAGTTGGGATCATTTTCGATACCCCAAGGTTGGTCACGATGTGATGCATTACCACTTTACTGGTCGTCGTCACCCGTTGATTTGGTATGTCTGCCACCTCGATCCACCACGACAGGTGTTCTGTCAATAATATGACACACTGACTTCTACTGGCTGTCAGCGGAAGGGGAACAATGACGTAAACTGACCATAACTCCCCGATCTCTGGTACAGGAGTAGATTAAATGGGATGAGTCGCCCCTGTCATCAGTCATCATCGCTCACAAGCCACCACACAATCCAATAACTCATTTTCCATCCCTCTGCTGAAGTACGCCGTATGCCTTGGTGCATCCTATGTGTGCAATCTCGTGACATTCGACGATCAGCTTCCGTCTCAAGATGCGAGGAATCAGGGGCAACATAACATTCGAATCGTTGGCGTCCCAGGATACTATGCCATCTTTACTCAGGATCAGCCGACCGAACTGCCTTTGGGACGTCTTCAGTTCTCTGTTTCCCTCCGAGTTCTCAATACGCCTTCCGTTTAATAAGGCGGTTGCACCGTTGTAGCTCCACCACCTTCCGGGATCCTGTTCGACGACGAGGCTATTGGAGCCTAGCATGATCCTCGGGGCCTCATTTCCAGCTTCTGGTCTTGACAGCCAATCTGCCAGGTGGTTCTCCTTCCTCGCCAAGTTCCGGATGGTGAAGTCGTAGTCTTGTAACCGGAGTGCACAGCGCGCGAGCTCTCCGCAAGGAACTCTGGTGGTCCTAATCCAACAAAGGGGCTTGTAATCGGTTTCTACATGAAATCTTTGTCTCAGGAAGTATGTCCCACACCAATCCAGGGCTCAGACGTTCGCGAAACATTCTTTCTCGATACTTCTGCTCAGTGTTAGTCAGGATACGACAAGCATATTCGATGACCCCATCCCTATGCATTAGGACTGCACCGATAGCGCGGTCACTGGCGTCCGCTGCAACAGTAAACAACTCCCTGGTCCTGAGCAGTCTGAGGGTCGGTTGCTGATCCAGCATCCGCGCTTTGAACTTCCAACTTCCGATTTTGACGCAGCATGTAGTACAGTGAAGCAGTAATCGTGTTGAAATCATTGACAAACCAGCTGTACTATACTGCTCGTCGGAAAAACTGCCACAAGGACCACCTCGAATTGGGAACTGCAACATCCTGGACCTTTGCCAGTTTTTCTGGCAATAAGCTAACCTCCCGTCGACCCACTTTATGCCCGAACAGTGCTACCGAAATTCTAGCGAGCTATGTCTTGGCTTCATTTAACCACAGGCTAGTTTCCAGAATACAATTCAGAACGGCGTGCTCTGGTCCCGAATAGCTATGGTAGACGATATCGTTTCCGTACAGAGCAACATTCTGTTGTCATTTCATCAAACGAAGCATCAACCACCGGAAAGCGAATAGTGCCCCCGACAAACAGAACGGCATCCGTCTAAATTGATATTGACTGTCCCCAACCGTGAATGCCATTTTCTCCAATATCTTTCTCCGATCACCAGAATTCGAGTACCGAAACGACCATTGATATGCACTACTCACAGGTTTCAACAAGAGCGAAACTGGAGTCCAATGCTTTACACACTTGTTTTGTAATTAGACTGATGTAGTTTAAAATTAAATAGTAGATAAAAAAGCAATGGACACTATGCAAACTAAACCCTACTGGGTAGTGGAAAATACAAACAAGGGCGGGTAACATGTGGACTGGGATGCAAACCCTAGGAGAAGCTTAACAAGAGCGAAGCATTTTGATTAATGCTGTACCGATGATAAGCAGGTAGCAGATATACAGGCTGTGACGGTTACGGTGCCTTTAAGACAAACCACTTTATCAGGCACTTAGGCGTCTAAGGTAGTGGAATGAAGAAAACAGTTGATCCTTGTAGCCGAGTGAAGAGCAAATAAGTAATGACTGGCTAACCTGGGTAAATGTGGGTGTACTAAACCCACAACACAGGTAGGCGGGTCACACGATGTAGGCTGATCAAACTGTGCACAAGATGAATTCCTAGCGGCCTCAAGTAGCGATCTAAATGTGGCAGTGAAAATAATGACGACCTGGCCACGTGATAAAGTATTTAGGAGTGTCACGTGCTATCCAGTGGAACATTCACCGGGTAGGGCCAATTTCGGCAACGACGCCGTTCAGTTATATGTACTACAATTCACTTTCAGCAATGAGCAGTAAATTCTTTAGTTATGGAGGCCTTTTAGTTCTTTACAGAGAGTCACAGCCCTACCTTAACAAAAAAATACAATATGTTGTTTTAACACAGTAAAGCCTCCTCAGACAGTCGTTGTTTTCTGACGAAAACAAGAAGCCTTTACGGTAGTATGAGGAGACGTTGAAATTCCAATGAGGGTTTCATCCTGTAAGTGAATACAGTCTGTGCTGAAAAGCCGAGAAGTACCACAAGCTACTTCATCCTTGTCGAGGACAATCAGCCCTTGTATGAGTCTTCCATCTGAAAATTCATCACTTGAGGAGACAGTCAGCAAGCGATCACCTGGTATGAATTGCGTAATTGAAGGATGAGTGATACTTCTTGAGTGCAACAGATTCACACTGTTGATCAGCCACTGGTAGAAAAAAAGCGTTCAGCTGTAGCACCATTGTGGTGCCTACCTGCCATGCCACCCGAAGGAAGCACGAGGGCTGGGATACTGCCAAGTTGCCCAAGCCTAGACAGGGTAGATGAACTGCAAGCTTTGATCACACACTGCTGATGATTTCCAAAGAGAATGACAGTCGTATAAGGTTATTCTCTTATCGATGGTTCTTGAATTCAGTGCGTTTCGAGTTGAGAAAAAACCTTTGCTTCACAGTTGGAAAACAGATAGTTAGTCAAGCTTGTGCCGAAGCATGGCCAGAATCTGCGAAGATATCTTGAACACGCAATCGCCACCGATGGCTGATTGCTATGCGGTCTTTTGTTCTGAGTCGGTGTTTGCAACCAACGAGCCGTAGTCTGTGCACAACTAAATGAATTAACCGACACAGTCCGTTCTTGGTGCGGGAACGACAAATCTGACACTCAAGCGATGTTCACTGTCAATAATTCGTCCCATGATTGTGTTCACATCCCCCTCCGGAATTGCGGCACATGTGGTTTTGCTTGTCGTAGAGGATTCGAAACACTGCGATAGAATTGGTCTTCGTTGATATCCTTACTGCAGTTCATTGGAGCATAGGAAGGAATCAAGAACAAGCCACGTGTTTTGCCTGTTTTTGATGGGCTTAAATGAATCCAGTTTGTCACGTGGCACACAACCTGCTGCTTACAGGAGCCCGATCACCAGATAACCGCAGTGGTGTCTTGTCGGCGTTTTTCTGATAAATAACAGAAATCAGCTTTCAAGGATGACCAAGAAGTCTACCCTTTAATCTGATGAGGAATGCGGATAGTGAATTCGACTACCTAAAACGAACGATTTGATACAAACCGAACATTTGGTTTGGTTGGAGGGTCATGGGTGAAGCGAAACATGAGAGGGTGATGTGGTGCGTGAGAGCAAGCCAAAAAAGATGAGGATAAGGTAAAATTGTTGGTTTGACCTAAAGATGATTCCTCGGTATCCAAACCAAAGGAAGAGGACTGTTTGAGGTACATCACCTTGAGCCTTTGACTCAAGTCAAAGGACCACTCACAAGCAGTGAGAAAACCCAGGATACCGCCCGTAGCCTTTGTCATGGTAGTCTTATCTCAAGGCAACAACTGATGGAGCTTGCTTTGGGGACACTTCTCGGAATCAACGATTCGAATGTTTGGCCCACTTGCCTGCGGCGGGGGGCGACTTGGATGAAGCTAACAGGAAGTAAAGTATAGATATCTCAGTCCTGATGCTACTGCATACAACAGATGTGGTGGAGCCGCACAGGTGAGGTTTATTCGTTTTTCGACCGCAATGGGTAATTCACTGGCGGTCACGGTCACGCAATTAACTTTCTTCGGGGAAAAGCAGCATTGCTGCTCTGGTTGATTTGGACAAGCTGGTCGCTCTGGATGAAAACCCTTATTATTTTTCTCGTAGTACGATTACTCGCTTATCTACGTGCGACATTTCTTTCTTTGCCTTGTTAGCATGACTGAACCTAGAATCCCAACTGGTGTGGCTCGCGGGGTCACTGAAGCACTGAATCACGACCACCCTGTCATGGTGGAAAATTTTGGTTCAGATGTGGTCAATAGAAGTGGAAGTAGTGCCAAACGAAGAACCTAACGACTCCCGGACAAGAAAAACATCCTTCACCTGTAACATCGGGTAGTTGTATGCACTTAAAGATGGGCGCATTCCAGCAGACCGCCTTAACAAGTGAGCTAAGCCAAGCGAAGGGAGCTGACAACCCAGCAGCTCAATAGGGCTCAAGGGGCCCTTTTAATACATAATTAAACGGCTGCACAGACATTGTGCCAGAGGCTGAATTCTTTCTTCGTTACCTTGCGGAGCAAACTTGGGGGCGGGGGAACTACGAGAAAAGAGTAGGAGCTGATGAGGGCACTACCCACACCATGACCACGACGCACCACGACACCAAATCAGCCAGCCCATTCAGCAGCGACAGTAATCGCAGTAAGCTAAAAAATGCAAAAGCGTGCTGTTAGCGGAACTTCGTTTAACCATGATATTTTAGATGACAGTGACAGACAAGTGGCATGTAGGCCATCTATGTTTAATTGAATACAACTGGAATTACGGAGACAACCATACGAGAGGGCATAATTGACTCCAATTTGGGGGAAACCAATACAGGGTCTTGATTTAGAGAAAAGCTGTTTACACTACACACTACACCCTCTACAGATTCATGATCAGGGTAAAGGAAATGCACAACAATCAAGCAAACTAAACCTCAATCACGGTTGCTTTCATAGGAACATCTTAAATCGAAGCTTGAAAAGATTAAAATTACGATAGATGGGAACATATGGGAGGTGAAGTTTCGGTCCGACAGCAGTGAAGCAGAATTTGCAGGAGAGGTAGAATAACATAGTTGAGTGGAACGATTCCGACTATGTGGACTGAATACAGGTAGGGCAAGCTGCGAGGAGTATTTACTATGATACGAAAGATAAAATAAAGAAGGAAGCTACAGGCTGAGGATCAGTGAGAGAGACTTGATGACAACCAGCCAGATAGCCTTTTTGAGTTTTAGACCTGAGATCAGGTAGACAGAGAACGTCCCACTCAAGACCTGACAGTATTACGCTGGGGTAGGACGAATCTGGGGTTTGTAAGAGAAAAAGAGGCTCTGGGGTGATAAAATATGTGAGGAATAAAACTCAACTTCTTGGATGTACTAGCCAGTTTGACACGGGTGGAACAAGAGGCTGGTGGCCGTTTCGGTCTCCTAAAAATGAATGGACTATCCGAAGAAGTCCTTTTCGAGATTACACAATATAGAAAAAACAACAGTACAACGTTGCGCCTAACGTCTACATCACATATGATTGTGGAAATTATTCGCTTAGCGTTTTCAAGGAAACTTTGAATAGCCTGTGGTAATGATTTCGGACAAATTTTGAAAGACATGGAAACAAGATGCACTTCATTATTCTTGGTGCAAACCCTGACAATGAAGCCCCCGAAAAGCTAGGACAGATTTTTGACGACCCCTGTAAGTTGCTGCGGTTTTTTTCAAAAAGAAAACACAGGAGACGGGACAATGAAGCCCCCGAAAAGCTAGGACAGATTTTTGACGACCCCTGTAAGTTGCTGCGGTTTTTTTCAAAAAGAAAACACAAGGAGACGGGCAAATAACAATGTTCATAAGAATATATGACAGAAAATACGGTAAACTCATCCGCTTCATGAAAGGAAACCTGAAAAGCACACAGGACGAAGTTCAACGAACCACCACGAATCGTGCATTTGATGGGCTCGTCAGGAAAACACAGTTCGAGAGAAGAATACCTAAGTCAAGTATTTTGTCCTACCACCCACCAGTAGAGACTATTAGGCAGTTAAATATGCAGCGAAAACTCGCACCAATGAAACAAATCACTTCGATGTGCAACGTCCTCGCAGAACTCCTTATACTACTGGAAAAGCAGCTGCTAGAGTCCTAAAGCACAAATATGTGACAACTACGCGATACCCAACTCAGATCGATCATCAACGTGTGGGATTTCAATCACACGGTATAGACCCACGGTGGATCAGAAACACACACGACGACATACGTTCGCAGGTGATGCTCAAATGTGCAAGCTGTGTGCAACTGAGTTTTAGACACCATAACTCTCCACAGATCACGTCGTGTGTTTCGCAGCATTTTCCAAGCGTAGGAAACAGACGTGAGCAAACGAACGAAATTGAAAACCTATCCTTAATGTGGGCTGACGGAAGGGAATGAATGAGATCTGCTGCGTGGTTTATTACCAAACCGAATGTTATGTCGTTGAAAAATACTACACTGAATATACCAGCCTGTTTTAGCAAGAGCGATGGCCAGGAGAGAGGACCTAATTGCTCTTGAGAGGCAGTACACTCTCACGCCCTTCTAAGTGGGCTTTTGGAAATGACTTCGTACCGCCGGGACCCACGGTCGCATAATTCGTAATACATGTTAATAGTAGTAAACAGAACGTCACAAATATCAGACCTCACTTGCACCCCCTCCGTTTTTTTTCGATGCAACTAGGCCGTGGGGCTTCCAAACTACTACCATCGACGGTCCAGAGCAATGCGAAACTTTTATTCTGCTTCTTTTAGGCTCTCTCGAGAATTTTAACTAATCCCTGACGGATTTCATGACTCACAGTCACATTCGAGATAAGCTGAGGCGGTTCGTTCAGCCGGTGACCATAGTCTCTTCGACCTTCTCGATTACGCGATTACTCACACTGATCAACGCGATAACGCTGAACCAATTATCGAGAATCCGGTACCCAAATGGTTTGATTTGCCGTATACTGCCTCACTTCAAGGCCATCGTTGTGTTCACCAATCATAACCGATCCCGGTTAATCATTTGTAATCTGAGATTTGTCGTTTTATTGCAAATAGGTCAACGTCCACCATAACATGGTAGCCTAAAAAGGTACAGTACCGAACACTTTCTATTATGCTTCGAGTAATTAGACAATAAGCTGTCTCAACATTCGTCTATGATTGTCAAAGTCTCTTTGGCACCGAAAAATACCACTCTTGCATTCTACTGATGTGGCCAGCGTCTGAGTAATGGATCGGGTGGAAAATTTAATTAGTGGTACAATATTTTGATGAAACTGCAGACACACATGAATGTGCCGTGTGTTCATATGCTTCGAGTAATTAGACAATAAGCTGTCTCAACATTCGTCTATGATTGTCAAAGTCTCTTTGGCACCGAAAAATACCACTCTTGCATTCTACTGATGTGGCCAGCGTCTGAGTAATGGATCGGGTGGAAAATTTAATTAGTGGTACAATATTTTGATGAAACTGCAGACACACATGAATGTGCCCGTGTGTTCAATCTATTCGAAAATTTATCTATAGCCAAAACCTAAGCGCAGAAGTTGGGCAAATACACAGAGCCATTTTGTGGAAAAAGTTTCGTTCACGCGGGCCATTCGCAGAGAATATCGCTTCGGTTGCGGCAAACACAATATCTTCTGAGATTCTATGATGCTTAGAGATGTACGGTAAATGCGCGCCAAACATTCACCACAATCAATATACCAGGCGCTGGTCACATTAAATGGTACGAAAGCATCAGACAGTGGGCGCTGCGTGAACCGTGTCTGATAATTTGCTTTCCAACATAACTTTCGGACAAGGAAATATTCCGGGATGGAAACGTTATAGCTTGGTTTTTAACACCTGGGTTATTCCCAAATGTTTAAGTCCACAGCGGCTTCTATTTTCCAACAAGGTACTAAGCAACGTAGCCAGTGTCAAACCTCTGTGACGACAAAGACCACTGTGATTTACGGAATACGACTGCTAAAACCTGCTCTGCTAAACTATGTCTACGCAGGATGAAAAATGGTACAGTCGAACGGGCTTCCTGAGGTGACAGTCTGTCAATCAGAAATATATGCACGAACAGAACCTGAAAAAGATTACCTCGCGCGAAAATTCCTGCAGCGATAACCAACGGAATGGGGGGTGTTGAGTTCACAAAATCACTAAGTGCGGCACGGTTGCTACATCGCGCACTGTTCGGCATGCGCTTCACACCTGCAAAGTGTTAAGTGCTGCTAGAAGACTGGGTGGAATCAAAGACACACCTCATGCTTGCAGATGAGCCAATCGACGCGGCTGTATAAGTTCCGGTGGATTGGCCGGAGATGAGATTGTTTCTCGAATCGGAAAGGCCAGGGCAGCTTTTCCAACCTCCGACACCTATGGCGCCGTCGTGACATCATTTTTTTGTCTAGAGAAGAGTGTATACTGTGGTTGTGCGATCCGTACTGCTTTGTGAATCAGAGACGTGGCTCCTACGTCCAGAGGACACACGAAAGATGTCAGTGTTTGATCATCGGTGCCTCTGAAGCATTGGTCAGGTCTGGTGGGAACATCAGATTAGAAATGCTGAGGTGCGCCAGATGGTCATAGGAAGAAGGAACTCTCCTGCGATGGATGAATTACTTAAGCTTTATAGGTTACCGTAGTTAAGACACGTAGTCCACCTGCCCCACGGAGCTCTTTTCGCCGAGTCCTGTGCTGAGTGGAAGCGACCGAGAGGTGGACAGTGTATGACCTGGCAACGAAATATGAAAACACTAACCAGTAAATTTAGTCGGGTCGGCAACTGCCACCTCCCTAGATGGGAACCCTGGGACTCAAATCACCAATGGCAGAAATGGCCCAGTCGCGCAGTTAGTGGCGCTCATGCATCAAAGCTATCGTCCTCAGTGTAGCTACCCAATTTTCAAACAAACTGAACATGCTTTCGCTTCCAAGGCCTGGTTGTATGCCCTACACTCCCATTTTCCGGTGATCGGAACTGTAGCAGCTGGAACCAATGTGACTACGGTATACTATTTATAGCTGATTGAATGGTTGGTAGGGTGAACAAGGCGACTAAGTTGAAGTTGAATGCGTATGGCTTCGCAAATACAACCTATGACATCAGCGACAAGGACACTAACAAGGTTGGAGAGTGAGTGCGACATCGTTATGGTTAGTCCAACGTTTAAACAACACGTCTGCGAGAAAATCCACGGTGTTTGACGGGTTGAGTGAATCGATCTAGCACTAGCCAAATGTGACTTACGAGGCTGCAGACGAACGCACTTGGCAAATTTCGATACAAAATTATTGTCGTAAATCTCGTAAATCCTGGAGGGCGTCAACATAAAAGGTGCGACTTATTTGTTTCGTATGTGTGTGTGAGACTATGATCTGTACAAGTTACTTTAATGAGTAATTTAGCAGAGTAACTGATTTTGACGGGGAACCTGCAATGGATGCGGTGTGCTAGGGTGGTCGGGTTGTGAAAGACACCATGAATCGGAACAATGGCCAGTAAGTTTAACAGTCAAGTGGCGTGGACAGTTCTTTCTCACGGCAGTTTAGTCGACGCGAATGGACAAACTCATGTTACTGAACTGCCAACGGTCGACTTGTGGAGAGGATGTAGCTGCTCAACCACCTGTTTTAGGCCATTTCCGGGACACAACACAATGATTCAGTAAAAATGGACAGTGAATTAGGTTTTGGTCGACATACTTCCAGACTGTATCGCAAAGTGTCTCAGTGGACAACATCCGAGCAATAGAAGTGAGGAGATAATGGAACAAAGACGACCTCCAGATTATGTGAATTTTGGATAATTGAGATAGCATTCAGGGTCTTTCGAAGCAAAAGAACAACGAGAGAAACTGACATTTTTATTAGGCGGTGACTCTGAAGGGTCATGGTGTTGGAACCTACCCCATTTTCATCGGCCACACACACAGCCGCATAGCTGAGGAGGTCGGACGTGGCAAACCATCGATCTTCTTGCCTCCTCCTTCGATTAACCACACTGATTGCGTCTACGCATAAACCCAGACTACTCCAAGTACGATGTGTGGAAGACAAAGTGGGAGAGGAATTTACGTCCGTACACAACTCGACAGCGGACCTCAGGCACTCCATGCTGAGGGATTGCACTGCAATGAAGTCGAACACTTCTGCAATCAGATCAGTAGAGGAGAGAAGAGAGGGTGGGAGCAGTTGGTGAACGTGTCAAAAGAATGGGATGACGAAATCCTGACATATCTGTTGGATAATCTCCAAAGTGAGAAATTTTACGATTGAGACGACGTGAATACGCTGATATAATCGAGCGCAGCTAAAGCAAGGGCGAAGTAAATACGTAGAAACACCAAACCACAAAAATCAGTATTTTCAATACAGTGCCAGCGCATTATCCAAAAGCTTCTAGGGGTGGGGGAGTGGGGGAACGTGCTTCGCCTAAAGCTGAGTGTATCCGACTGAACGGCAATAATTGTATGACAACCTACTCGCTTCTCTGTGCGGAGCATCAAAGATCAAAAAAGCGCGGATTTCCGTGATGGAAAAAAGCTGCCCAAAAATATGTTCAAGCATGGGAAGGCATAAATGCAAACTAAAACATGCTCTGGATGCCGTTCCCAACTTGCGATAAACTGCTTGGTTTGGGTGCGAGGAAAGGTGTGGAGTTTTTCCCAACCGGTCATAATGATAGCCCTAAAAGCTCACATGCTTAACGCCACGATCTGCTGCAGTCATAAATTGAGTCACGCGAATACACGGGCAAATAAATGTTAAACGGTGCCACGGAACGTGGAAATAACGCAAACGGCAGAACACCGTGTGTGAACGAGAAATACAACGTAGGATACGTTGACAAAACGGTGACTCATGACACTATCATTCCCAACATCCGTGTGTGTGTGTGTTAACTAGTGCCTTATGCCACCACGACACATTTTTATCCAATCGAATGCTGTTTTACCTGACAGTCTGATGAGGACGCAAACCAAACACAAAAATCCATCTTCATACATTAGCGCTGTCCATGCACGTAATCCAGCGATTGTGCCGGAATCATCATGGGCAGATAAGACTTGCACCACAACAGAATGGAAGTTCATTGGAAAGGCCAGATGGTAACTCCAAGCATAGGAATAAATAGGTCTGTAGACGTGTTGTGAATTTCCTCTAAGCCTACTATATCAAAAAGGCCTGCAAACTTCGTGAGTGATGAGGAAAGAGATGTGTCAGGCCTCTGTGTTTGGCCTGGAGATGATCGAGACTGAGGAGAAATAAGCTTCAGGAATCCGAAACAACTGTTAGAAACATTTTTTACGACGGGTGTCCCGAATAGCTCGCATAGCGCTTTACCCTAAAAGTCAGGGCACAGTGAATATCCGAACAGGTCAGTTCACCATTGGAATAACCTAGCTTTGACTGCGAAAGATCGTACTGGATGTTGCGCATAGAACTCACAGGATTCAGCGATTTAAACGAAATCAGTTGATCGATTGCACCGTTTTACAGCGTGCCAGTTCGGCTCGCTTATTATGTAACTTCATCAGTAACATTCGGTAACAAAAACAAATGTGCTTTGCATGTGATTACAGGCAGCAGCATGCGTAAAACAGTGGAATGCAAACGAAATGCCTTTCTTAAACCCAGTGTTGTGAAGTAATATGGTGTAGTTCATGTGGAACTCGTAAAGCGAACAGAGTGGTCTGTTCAAAGGACCATACACCATGCCCCGTGGCGGTGCGTTTTCACTTCTTCGCACCACTAAATCAAAAGCCCGTCGCTTGATGAACAGATAAGGAAAATGTCAATGCTAGACAATAGAGATCAAGCCTATTCGTGAAACAGGCACGCTAGGACCTTGAGTGGATGGAACCATCAATGACAAAAATGACCCGCTCATCTCCAAAGAAAAGTAACACGTGAAACATCGGAACAAATAGTTTGAACAATGATTCAGGTGGCCATTTGATATTGTCCAGGTGGATTTCCAATCGGCAACAATCAACAGGAGTCGAGTATTAAACAGCCAGCAAGCTGACAGGCGAGCTATGCTACTGCCCAGACCACTTTTTCATGTCGCGTGATTTACTAAATTACCCCGAATAAGGAGCAGGGAACTAATGGCACTCAGTCACAATAATTTATAAGAAAACTGGGAGGTCAGGTCAACAACAACCAGGAGAAAAATGGTGGGTTTGTTGGAAGGTGTGGCTGATATGCTTGGTGCATACATGTGTTGGGCATGCGTGCCCCAAATAAAACTAAATACCAAACCTAAAAGAAGTCCTATTTAATTTCATTGTCAATCTACGTGGAAGGGAACTCGGGTTCTTAGATTACTAATACTAATAAAAAATCGAAGACGAAAGAATGGTATCCTTCGACGTCACCTCACTGTTCACGTTGGTTGATTTAAATGCTGCGAGGATGGTGGTTGACGAACTTCTGGACAACCCAGGAGCTATAAACGTAACTCTCCGCAGAAAGAAAATATACGAACCACCAGATCTGTGCTTGACAATCTAATTCAAATTCAATGGATAATGTTATGAACAAGTGAAAGGTGATCCAACTGGAGCACCAATCTCAGGATTAATCGCGGAAATTAGTGTACGAACTGGAGCAGACTATACTATCGTTTATCAAGCCGAGAATAAGGATACGTTATGTGGACAAACATTTACCATTGTAAAGAAAAATTAGTTGTCACGAGCGAATCAACTGCTGAAAAAAAGGGGTTCATGACATCCACTCCGCAGTGGAAACGTAAGAGAACAATTTACGTTCCTAGATGTGCTAGTCATGAAATAACAGTCGCCTCCAAGCCTGTAAACACCAGGAGAAAAAAACGCTCGAAACAAAAGGGAAGGTTGGATGCAATAAGAAGACGAACGTGATCTATAAACTTCATGTAACGACTGCGAAAAACACTATATTGGCCAGACTCGAAGAAAACTTGCCACCAGAATAAACGAACAGCAGAAATGACCCAATGTCACTTGTTTCAATCCACAAAGACAGAGAAGGGCATCAGTCCAATATTTTTCAAATACTTGCTCAAGAAAGAACGGAACGGGAACGAGAGTTTGCCATGGCGTGAGACTCCACACAAAAACCGGTCACTAAACACACCAACATCAACCCAGTCTGTCAGTAGTTACGAACAAAAGAACAACAAGGTCAAGGGACTGTAAACACTCCGGGAACAACCAATAGCTTCAGATACTGTTCAGAAACTACGTAGGCACAGGCAGAATAGGAGGGATTAGCCTACTCAACCCCGCAACTGACGATGTCACCTCGACTGGTGACGAAACCGTCACAATCCAACCGCCAAGTTCGGAGAACAGAAAAAAATCAACCAGCACGCTCAAGCTACCTATATTCCGCAATACTGCCATTACTAATTAGCTAACAGTTTACTGTTCGCATATTTCCTGACTCGACTAAGTGTTGGAAAGTATAAAACGAAGCAAATGGATCTTAGGAACGCGATCCAAATAATCTCAATAAATGCAACAGTAAGTTGACGCCATTCGAGGATAGTTACCGAATTAAGACAAACGACCTACGTAGGACTGAGATATATCATTAGGGCAACGAGCACTTGAAGATTCACACCACTATCTAAGAAGCCGGACCATACAAGATTGCATATCCACCACATACCAGTGATACGTAACCCGCAGGGCTAATCAGCTATCGGACGGCGCACCCACGGATATTAGCGCCTAAAGGTGATGCAAAGTTCGCTCAAAACCCTACTAATTAGGAAAGCCGCATTCTAGGCAGATCAGCTCACCCAGGGTTCACTTTCCAACCAACCTTAGTGTCATGAATATTCTTTGTGCTCACATTATCGTTTTGTATTAACCATGCTTTCGCCTTCATTTTCAGCTTATGTACGTCTATTCTTAAGCAAGTAAAGCACTATCCATTCTACGCCATTCATTCTTGTTCTCGCGCTCAATCAGAATCGATATTCTATTCGTAACACTTAGGCAGCAGCCAATGTGATCGGCAATGGTAAATTAAAAGAAATCACGATTCCCTGTGCCATCCTGGAATTGCTCGAATGCACCACTTTGTTCTTTCCAAAAACTTGCCGCTTTCCCTCCAATATGTCAAGGACATCACCACAAAGTGTACGGTTTGCGCCGCCATCAAACCGCAGTTTTACAAACCATCCCCCGCTACGCTCATCAAAGCGACCCAACCATTTGAACGAATTAGCATCGATTTTAAAGGACCTCTACCTTCTGTTACTCGAAACCGGTATCTCCTTAGCATCGTTGACGAGTTTTCTCGTTTTCCGTTTGCCTTTCCCTGCGCAGATACATATGCGTCCACAGTTATTAAATGTCTGTGTGAGTTATTCTCTTTGTTTGGCATGCCTGCATATGTACATTCGGATCGTGGCTCCTCATTCATATCTGACGAACTGTCCACATTCCTACATGACAGGGGAGTTTGCACCAGCCGAACAACTTCTTATAATCAGGGGAACGGGCAAGAAGTCGAACGCCTCAA